ATAGGACTCCAATAGTATTTTAAAAATTGAATTCTTCTTGATATTCACTACAATTAGAATTTTTAATACTTCAAACAAGGAATTCGGGTCAAACCCAAATTCTAACAATAAGAAAAATAAAAAATGTGGGGGACCTTGTGAAATGGTGCCCAATAATTTGATGATCTATACATATCTATAAACCTACTTGTTGAAGTGCATGACCATTGGTGCAAACTTCAACAATCTATCCAAAGCATTAAGCGTAAATTTTCTTGCAAACAAGAAACAAACATTTGTTTCCTTACCATTGTATTTGCATGAATTTCCACTCCTCAACTGCTCCAAAAACTCTGGAGTAACATCTGTTCTTATAAACTTGGCAGGATGGGGTCCACCCTTTGACCAGTCAACCCAAGTCAAACTTCTATATGAATTCCTCCCTTCAAATTTCATGCTCACAAATGTTGGCAAGTAATGCTCATCAGCATAACATGAACCATTGCAATAGTTTTGAAACACTGGAAAATAAGTATTATCAGCTATAACTTCAATTGCAAGATCTCTGTCCATTTCAAACCATTGGGAGCCCTTTCTCCATTGGTCAAGCTTTATCAATGGCTGCATTAGGATGCTGTACCTTCCTCGACCGACGGGGCCAGGTAGATCGTATTCCTCCACAAAGTTTTGGGTCGAGTTCATTAGGTAAGAGTATACCGTGGAAAAATTATAAAGGGGAATGCATGATTCGGAGAGGAGAACAAAATGTTGGTTGGAGAAATCAAGAAGAGCATTGGCTAGTAGTCTGCGTTCTGCTTCGATCATGTTTACATGACCCCATTCGACTTTCTGCAATTCTCATAAATATTTTTATAAGATCAAAATTCATCAATGGTAAAAAGAATAGAAGCAATGTGCATATAAATGTGAATAATCTTGCACTGCATGAATATTATTGCCAGTCCGTGTTACAAATTCTCGATAAAAGTCAATTTTATTGAATAGTAGAGCACTCTACTATTAATTGAATCACATTGTCTAATCATAATTGAAGGATCGAGTCGTTGGATATCTCTTCCATTCATCAACACGTGACATTCTTTTTCTAATCATATGTAGATTCTTAAGATTAGAAATCTTAATCCTGTTCCACATGGAGCAATTTATTTGCAGAAAGAAAAATAGGCGGTTAAGAACACGCAAAATTTGTAGAGGTTTCTTTAATGTGAGACTACGTCATCTTTCACAGTTGCAATAATTTGTAAGTTTACAAGAGAAAATCGCACAATCTATCTTCTCTAGCCTCATCATCGATTCACGTACTAGTTCCGCACAATGACGATAATTAGTCTCCATAACTTCAGTTACTCCTCAAGTACAGGAGTAACTCACAGAATCTTGAATTTTCTGCATCCTGTCCGTCTCATTTCAAAATTCTGTATAAAATCTCTATAATTATTCTGTACTTGTAGCAAGATTCCCATAACTTAACATATGTAATCGAGGATACTAATGTAATCTATCTAAGTACCGAATTTTAAAAAACTGGTGTAAGTTACTGAAAAGGATATGGCATTTGAATTAATGCAATTTGGAGATAAGGCGGTGTGAAGTAATATCTTTGATAATGGTTGGTTAGGATGGGGACTGAAGGGGCCTTGTTTTTTGGTATGCATCTTAAATGCTGCCCATTCTGCAAAGGCAATGGCTAGCAATTCTCCCACATATATTGCATCACACATGGTTTCTTCTTCTACTCAACATGATTAAGACAATCAATTTTTGCCCCCAAACGACGCATCACTTACCACACGTTTGAGATGCAGTACTCAATGCAATTTTATAGTCTCGTAAAATGACAAAACATGTCTCATCATTTAGTAATTTAGTTAAGAATTGAATAGATTGGTCGAGAAATTGGGATGATAATATGCATTCGTCAACGTCAACGTCAACGTCAACGAAGTTTTTATATAAGCCAATCGTGGAGAGCTTCACCGACATCTAAATAGCTGCAGTTTTTTCCTTGTTATTAGGTTTATTTTATAATTAGGGTAGAGATCCACCAGATTTCTATTCGGAAAAATCTTACCACTGTCGAAGACTACATTCATATAACTAGTGTTCCTTTTCTAATGTGGTATCAGAACATATATAAGAGTCGAGTTCAAATTTTGTCGATTTCTATTTATGAAAAATTATACACTTGTCAAATATATGATATAAAAAGTAAATTTGTACTAATTTTCTTCCCTCTTCCATTTTTGCAGAGAAAATAAGAAAAGGGATTATAGGTACAAATGTTCTGAATAAATTGCTTTAACCTCAAGTTTGGTGCAGTATAAATTCTCCAATAATCTTCATTAAAAGATATTTATCCTACCCTATCAAATTAATACAAAGAAATATAATTATATTAGAATTTCTAGAAGGAATAATTGCTGTAAATGTGTTGAGTTCGATCTTAAAAGGTAAACATCAAAAGATATGAGAATTTAATCCTCGAAAATGGAAAAATCATAATATAGATATGTGTTTAAGTAACAATTTTATATAACAATGCTATAAGAATAAATGAATTAAACTGACCTTACTAGGAATTCTCCTGCCATGAAAAACTGAACCTTGAGGATCTGATTCATTGAAAGATGGATCAGAATGCACATAAATTGAGTATAGCCCTTCATTTCCTTTGAAGAACAACTCCCATAGAGGGGCTAACAAAACTGGCCCTCTGATCAAGAACATGAATGCAATCTTCGGCCGTATTTTGAACGGAAATTCTTGAATTCTTGGAATCATCGAGGCTCTCCAAAGCAATTCTTGATCACTCATGTTATGCATGATAACATTAGGTGGCTTACTTGATGATGATTGTGAAGTGAAAATAGAGAATTGGCTATTTGTGACCAGTAGATTGAAAGAGAAGCTTTTGTAATGGAAACAAAGAAGTATCCCAAAAGTTAACCCGGATACGAAGAAGAATAAGCAAGAAAGGAGTTTAACAAGTGACATATTCATGGCCTTCCCACCTGAAGAAAATGGATTTTGGCTCTGGTTCTGGTTCTTCATTTTGTCACACCTGATAAGAATCTGTTGTTACTTCGTGATATAGGAATCTGATATCGAAATGAAGAAGCAATGAAAATTCCAGGTAAATAATAAGTGATTTTGAAGATACATTTGGGAACTAACATTTGTTAGAGAGAAGTGAGATCACAACTGTCGGTTGAAGTCTGAGATCACAAAGTACGCATTTTATTAAACTTAAAACAGACAAACTAACTAAACAGGCCAATTTTATGATGTCTGGTGGCTTTCTAGTTTTAGACTCAACTTGTCGAAAGGGATATTTAATATGCAAACAAAAAACACACGTAAAAGTTGAACAATGAAGATTGGAGAGAGGGGTGGAGATGAAGAATTCATTTTTTATTCTATGAGTTCTATCAGAAACAGGTTATTGACACGATTTAAAAATAAGCGGACACTGTCGCAGCATCATTGGATATAGTCAGAAAATTAAAAAATTACCCATATAGTTACTGCATAGCACCTGTCAAAGTGTTGAGACCCTTTTAACCCACGTGTTGTGAAAAATCGGAAGAAATTAATGAAGCAATATGAAGTATTGATCGCTCACCAAACAAAAATAAGATTTAAAGTAAAGATAAGAAAAATTGGTAGAGGAACCGATAGTTTANGGAAAAAATATTTTCTCAATATTTTTCCAATAAAATACGTGAAATAATGGAAATAATACTTTTCCCAATACGTGCAAAGAAGGAAAAATATATTCCAAAAAATTCCAACCTAATTTGGGTCACAAAATTCAATACAAAGCCCCTGTTTGAGTAGCATTATTCTGTTAAAAATTGTTGTTTCCGATCAATCTAACACATTTTCACAGTAGCCACGAATATTTATTTTGTGACTTGTTTAATGCGTTGGAATATATATATATATATATAGAAATGATCTAATGAGCACCGGTGCTCATCTTATTTATTTATTTATTTATTTATTTTTTCAATCTTAAACGTTGGTAAAGCTTTTTCACTCTAACCATGAATATTGAATTATGACCATAATTAAAGAATTTACTATCTAATTGGTTATAAATAATGGTAATATCAAGTATGATTGCTGAAGTTAATAAGGTGTTTGATAAACCAATTTGCGCCTCATGAGAAAAAAAATCGGACCGCTAGTGGGTCACAATCAATGGCTCAATTTTGGGAATAGAAATCGCACCCACAAAGTAATTGCTCATCGGGATCCGGCAAACTTTTTGTTTACATGTTGGACTAGAACATTACAACTAGTAGGTTTTGAGGACCACTTAGGTTATTATGAGTTATAAAGTGTTAATTTTAATCTTGAGCGTGTTGATAAATAATTATAATTATAAATGTATAGAAATGAACGACGGAAAGTGGGTAATACTCGTGAATCCATCTTGAGTGTTTATGAACTAAAAGTTTCAAATTAATGTTTTATTTAGATCCAACGTGCGGAATTACACAATTAAAAATAACAAGTTACTAATTAATTGTTTCTAAATGATTATGTCAAACGATCCAATTAATCAAAAGCAATAACGTAATGAACACCAAGAATGATAACGGAGAAAACACTTCACAAAGATCTAAAACTTCGGACACTTTGTCCGCCAACAATCAATTTTAAACGATGAAACTTACAGCATGGCCCAAGCCCGACTAACTCTTAGTCCCCTCTGACCTTCTTCCCGACCCCTGTTATTATGTATCTCCTATGGACCTCTAAGAATGAACCTCATTCTTCAACGCCGAAACTCCAAGTTCTTCTTTCCAAAACTCCAACAACTCTGAAGGATAATTGGCGAAGGTATGTTTGGTGTTTGATCAATTATCTTTCTGTGTTTTGGTCTTATACGCCTATTCAAGAGATATTGAAATATGTTTTTGATTTTCAAAGAACAAACTATTAATTTACAATAATGCTCTACTAATGGATCAATATAGGGGTTGAATAATGAACAAATAATATTGTGGTTGAATTAAGAAATCAATGAAAAGATGTTTGGATCTTCAAAGAATGATCGCTATTATCAAAATATTGTTCAACCACACTTTTGATCGTCCCATACGGAGTATATTTATAATGGGTAATGTTTGAATTGAAAAAGAACTCAAAATCAGCTTGAAAATTGAAATTTATTGTCCACGGATAACCATGCTGCTTGAGCATCAGGCTAGCATTAGGCGAGTGATAGTTGAGTAGTCATCAGTATTTTCATCATAACTTTCTCTCGCGATATTGGTTTGAGGTGATTTAAAATGCATTGGAAAGATAACTCAAATGATTATAATTCTTTTAGAAGTAGCATAATCCAAATTTCAATATTTTCTACAAGAAAAATGCATCGCAACTTGTGGTTAAAAATTTGGAGCAAGATTTGCATAATACTTTTACACTTCTTTGACTTCAAATTGAATTCCAACGATCATATATGATCTTCTTGGACACCTTCAAAACATATACTACCAATCCCAACTCTTTTGACGTTATTTAGGACTTAATAACTCATATTTTGACTTTGATAATAATTCGATAAATTTCTAATACAATTCAATTAGGACATGATTTTGACTAAGAAAATTGCTAATTATAAATTTGAAAATTATTAATTTTACTAATTACAAAATTGGACGTAACATAAACAACATAAGCCAACCATAGGCTAATGTCGTGAAAAATGTTTGTTAAGATGTGTTCACACAAATTTAGTTTCACGAGTTTAATCAATTTCGTTAAAAATGTCAAAAGATCTACAAATAATTGTTGCCCATCGAGCTTTGTCACTAGAGGTATGGTAACGACTTTGAATATGACCAGCTCCCATAGTATGACGGACAGTGTTTATAGACGACCAATGAATTCCCCATTGTATGCTGCATCTCGACAAATACTAACAATATTGACGTCATCCAAACGAGTTTCATAGTCTTACATTTTATCTATGTGAACCAAGGAGGAAAAGGCTCTGCATGAAATGAGAGAAACAAGGAGGTTAACATCATTCAAATATACTACACGAATTGGTACAATTTAGTGTGTTATAGACATAAATTATTATGGTATACCTGGATGCCACGCCAGCTTCAAAAAGGGTCACATCGGTGCACTTGTATCATGAAATGAATATTTACGCCTTGATCATCGAAACCTACCAAATAAAAAAAGCATCGCTGGTCGAGATTCCCCTGAGCAAAGGAATGTGTATAACTCTAAACGACTAAAAACCTGATTGGAGGCCTCAAAGTGCTACGGACACGAAGGAGATATCTCGATGCAAATTTATCTACTATGATGCTAGTGCCCCACACATTCCCCGATTCCCGTGCACACAGTCTGATTCTTGGCAAATGTTACATAAGCGCAAAGTTTAATAAGCTTTGAAAAATGGTAATTGAATCATGAATTCCAACAAAAATAATGAAATATCAAGTCATAAAAATGATTAAAATACCCTTGTCAAACTCCTATAAATATGTTATTGCACAATTAAAAATAACTTTAAAAGAAGCTCAAAAAGAAAAATCTATTTATCCTTCTTGAATACCAAAAAATTGGATTAGAAAATACAAAAAATTCTTGAGGAAAATTTCCTTGAGAAATCGAGAGCGAAAATATATAGTGGACTTTGGAAAATATGTTCTATTTTTTGAGGTCAATAATTTGGCCAATTTTGTTGTAACTAGGGGTGGGCAACACCCGACCGAACCCGTCCAAACCGAACCAACCTGACCGGTTTGGGTCATTTTTTTGTTGTTTTTATACGGATTTTTCCATGTTATATTAAATGCATTTTGTTTTTTGTAGGCTTGACTAATGAGGATTGAATAAAATAATATATAGTTTTATTTATTTATTTACTTACTATTTAATATTGTCTATTTGAATTTAGTATAATAGAAAATTGGATGACTTTAATTTTTGTTGACAAGTCATTCCAAACCGACTAACCCAACCCAACCGATACTTGATTAGATTAAATTGGGTTTCAATATTTACATGGGTTGTGTTGGGTTAAATTTTGATCAAATCGATCATATTGGGTTGTGATTGGATTGGATTGGATTGAGGCAAAAATCGACCCGGCCCGACCCATGCCCACCCTTAGTTGAAACTCTTAACAAAATCACGAGAGAGTTAAACATGTGAGGGAAAAGAAAACCAAGGAATATGATTGGAAGTGGATCGAGAATGTTGTTGGTATTTTCAGCTCCAAATACTATCTCACAATCTGATGAGGAGAAGTAGTTATAGATTCCACGAGCTATGTTAGCTCGTTCAATTTGAGTTATTTTTATTGCTTTATTTGGATCGCTCCTCAATTCTTCTATTATTAATAGGGTTTTGCTTGGTGTACAAGTAGGGTTTACATCCTACCGAACACACACAAATAAGGGTGGGTGGGTATTTTTGGGGTGGTTTTTTGTGAGAGGCTCAGCTCTGCTAGGTCTTTTACAGGCCTGGCAGAGGAGCATAATTCTTATTAATAACACGTTCGAGATGGGGGTAAATGACAATGATACGAAGAATGTACCAACCTAGTTCTGACATCTCAGTGCAGCTCTCGAATTCTATCTTTCAACAATTTCTAATTAAAAAAAACATAGCACATAGGCAATATTGTAAGTTTTTATTAATGGTATTTAACATGGTTATTTCTATCTTTATATA